ATCGTAATGTAGATGATAACGAAACAAGGGTCCATGTTCTATATCGTAATAAAGATGGAAACAAAACTAGGGTCCATGTTATTTATCTTAATATAGATGAATACAAAACAAGGATCCATGTTATGTATTTTGATATATGAACGCAAAACAAGAGTCTATGCTATATATCGTACTAAAGATGAAAACAAAACAAGGGTCCATGTTATGTATCATAATATTGGTCATTTACTGTAATATAGATCCGAAGGAAACAAGATTGACGATGATGATGTCCTTTTAGGTGTTGAAGATACAATGACGAAAACAGTTCCAGGTAGACCAGGGACATGGTGAGCCTACAGCCCTATCTAACTCAGAGATATGGGGATATTTGTGTGAAACGGGATAGTCATTGTACCCCCTCACATCCCTCGCCACCACATTAGTTGCTAATACATATACCCTTTCATCCTCACATCACATTCCTGTGGGTTTTTTTCTGTTGTTTTAATTCAGTTATGTCCATTAACCTATTAAACGTACGTTTTAAACATCCGTATCACGAACACATGCCCAAGCATCCATTCTACTGGGATGGGCGAATTGATCAAATTATGTTTTAACCTTATTACCTGTTTTATTCAGTTGATGTGTTTTCTAGAAATTAGCCTGTACTGTACATAGATTAGGTGTTATCCAAAGACCTGTGGTCTCTTTTCATCAAAGTCACTTGAATTTACTTGTCAACGTGTAAGATAATCCTCTTCGTCAATGTATCTCCCGTAAAGACATTTATTAAATATTGATGGTTATGTTTTGAAACTTTCCTGATATATCTCTCATGGAGTGTGCCAACTATACTCACAATGTGTTTTAATAAACATACTAGTCCCTCCATTTCATATCACTTGATTCACCCAATTGTGTATAGCGATGCTCACGATGTCAATCACGTGATTGTCTGATCCAGACACGAGTGCTTCATATATAGCTGAAATATTGCTGAGTGCGACATTTGGAGAAAAGAAGGATTTCGTATGGAGACAACATATTTTAGCAACAGCTGCAAAACCAGATATCATTTGTATTAAAATCATGATCCAAAATATATATTTCCATCGATAGAATCCCCACCACCCCGAATACCAATTTGTTTGTCCCTAATAAAACACTGGTATCCCACGCAGAAAGGGGGTGTACCTGTGGGGTATTTAGATCACGTGTTACTTTAGGTCTGTTAGCCTTGGCGTATCACTCGATAGTGTCCTTTAAGCAATATTTCAAAAATATATGAGTCCACGTAATTTCCACCTCCAGTGAAACATAGTTATAACGAAATCCTTTAAGACAATGTCCCAACGCACACTTTATTACTATGACCTAAAATTAGCACTCGTGTATCTCGAACTATGGATAACTCGATATATTTTAGATGGCCTCAAGAAGCTCGCGATCGGCCTGACAATGTTCGTGAATACATTCAGCTGCATGTCCATGACAGGTGCTACTCAGACCGTCACCTAGCCATGCTGTTTTAAGAAGATTGAATCATGTTTTCACCATTTATTTCATTTTGTCTCAAAAGCTCTTTTCGGTGAAGTCACCTTCCGTTGAAATGATATATCTTAACATCCGCATTCATATTAGTGTAATTCAGTGAAGTCCTACTACATTTCTGGTAACAGATTTCAAAGCACGGACTTAAACCCAATATCGCAGGAACAATTGTGAAAGTCATCAAATTCCTTTCCATTATATTCTTAATCCAGCTTTTCAATATCACCGAAGTCTTTCGGCGTCAAAGGGGATCAGCCGCTGATTTTCATTTGCGACCATTTATTTTCCGCTATCATTGCACTTTTACACACACCCGAACAGCGCGCGTGCAACGTAATTGATAATGTGCTTCGGGTCCCCTATTGGATAAACATCAATAACGACTTGAAGGCGGTTAATCGATAAATCGTCAACGTTCGAGGTAATCTTGGTGCCTGAGCGGCATTGCCAACCGACCGACTGGCTTTGGTACCCTTCAGACACGTGAAGGATCGGCGAATACCTTGAGAAAAGAAACAATTTGGATAGTATGTTTAGGAAACATTGTCAATAAGTGCCCCCGGCTGTTGACAAAATGGCGGCTTGCTGTGGCCGGTTCTCACGTCTGCTGAGCAAGGTTGCCCGGATGGTGGCTCAGCCTCGCTTTGAGTGCGTCGCAGATGAAACAGACGGCACTGAGAACATTTGTCTCTATCCAGTCCCTAGCTTGAGCAATTAGTGTTGCTCGGAATTGGGTTGGCCACAATACGACGTCTGTTTTAAGATAACTTGTATGCGAACTTTGTCATCCATTAACAATAAACATGGCGGATAGGCAACCCACAGGGGCTAGTCATTCTTGGACCTTGCGTGCAACTCGACCAACACACATTATTAAGCTCCGTGAATTCACCAGTGAGAGATGGTTGGTAATAAACAAGAAACAAAAAAAATCCAAATGTGTACATGCTCTCAATTAAGCTGAATAACAAACGATTAAATAAGGATGAAACACTATTCGTGTTGAAGGGATACGTGGTCATATAATGATTAACATTGATGGTTAGTTTTTCAATCACGAAGGAATATGAGATACGATCAGTTGTAATCATCAAAAAAGCAAAGGGAACAGAAACGTGTTATTCTATAGATGTTTATTTCATAAAATATTTCGAAAACATAGAAATATTTGAATGTTTATCACGCCTAAGTTCCGAGTACCGAGAAAAGAGCGCACATACTGAGAGTCAGTGGGTATCTTCATTGCTGGAAATAAAAGCCTTTAGCACTTTGTACTTTTTAATCTACTTAATCCCCATTTCAACCCGGCATCGCTTTGAATATGGCTTCATCAAAGGTAGAATTAGTGATTTTGACTACATGTTTATCAATGTCCAGTCGGGTCACTTCAGACAGCATTGTGACCTAGGACTTGGCAGGCTGTGAAAATGGTGAGAGACATGCCCTTGAACAAGAGACGGTCCTGACATGGTAGGTATCAAAAATAAATCTGGCGTTGTATGAAGGGAGCTTATACTGTTTTTTATGCTGAAAAGAAATTGTTTATGTCTTAGCAATTAACATAATCATCTTGATAGAGAGGTCCAAATGTTTTCCACTTTTATAGGTGTGCTAGTAATTTATGCTTCACTGGATATGAGATATATATTAACATTATTAGTAACATTTTATTCGTGCATATTCCAAAACAATATCTAGGACTCTTCACGCTTTATCCTGGCGCAAGTACACTTTAGCAAAAGGAATTCTCTCCCGCGTGTTTGATTTAATGTTAAATGATATGACATGACACATGACGTCAACATGCTTCACAATGCTGGCTGCTTTAGCATGTGAGTCAAAAACTTAAACCTGTTATTCATCAACACATGCTCATGATTCGTTTTAATCGTGCAATCTACTCTGATTTGAGCAGAGATTTCTTATGCATATTGAAAGAGTTTTGTCGCTTTTATTAAAAACTGGAAACTGGCAGCATGAGAGATGATAAACATGGTTGAACTTACAATGCGAGTCATAGTTTCACAAAAGTACGTTTAAACATGGTTGTAGTTTTCAATGAAGATAGATTCGGATATATATTATATGTATTGAAAAGGGAACATAATGTATTTCAAACTAGTGAACTAAAGACACCCTGATTTTATCATTTATTATTATCATTTATTTTCTGCACTGTTTAACACAATTTTCTCTCTTTTTAACTGCTCTTTTCAGTCGGGTCTATCGGTCAATTCTCGCGTTGCAACAGCTCGCACATTTCTGCTGACCATATAGACATGTCTTTTATTCATATCATTCCTTGCAAATCATATGTTTCCAATGGGCGGTCGGGTAGCCTGGTGGTTAAAGCGTTCGCCGAGGACCCGGGTTCGATTCCCGACATGGGTACAATGTGTGGAGCCCATTTCTGGTGTCCCCCGCCGTGATATTGCTGGAATATTGCTAAAAGTGGCGTAAAACCATACTCAATCATGTTTCGAAATTGACATGTCCATTAGTTCATTCACAGATGCCAGCATAGACTCTGCATGCTGAAAAAAACTCACTAACACCCTTGTAGTCTCCCTTAATCCCGATGCCTATAATCTCCAACGATTTCTTTTTGGGACTATATTTGTAAGTGATTAAACGGAAATTTTCATCCGAAAAGTTTCTCTTAAGCACTACTGTCCCGATTTACAGGGTTCCTCTATTCATCAAAAAGCTGAATGGATGTTTCCTTCCAATGTTTTTTAGAGTATGTTGCATAAGATGGTATGGGTTATTGCAACAGAACAATATGTGCACAAATATGCTTACATAAAGGGACATAACTCTTATTTACAATTGCACACGTTGTAATTAACATACTGCATTTGTTATGATAAAGGTTGAAGTATAAAATAACATATATTTTAAATCACGTTTTTAAACAAAGCAAATAACAATACCACATAATATGTTAATATTAGCAGCGTTGTCGTGATTTTAATGGTTCGATTAATAACAAAATGATGTGCACTTTTTTAAAGACAAACATAGTGAATCAATTTCGGTTTTAACGATGTATGCGGATGAAAGCTACCTGATCAATTATTGTCTGTTGAAAATCCTTCCGTTGCCTTGTATATCAAGTGTTGGACAAGTCACATACTACGAAGCTTAAAAGTGTAATTATTGGAACAAACGGAGTCGAAAAATTCTAATTAAAATGACCTAAGTGTGTACCTACTACGATAATTGGGACTCGAATTATCCCCGTAATGATGGCAATACAAACTTCAAAGCGGCATGAAATGTTCTCCGTCGCGAATAAAGCCGCGCTGTATGATATATTGTCTTGTTATCGGTAAACTTTTCTTTGTTACCTTTCTCAATACGCCTGTCTCATACGCCCCTTAAAGAATCTTGTGGCCACTCTTTTACAGTCCTGCGGAATCACTTTCGAATTTCGGGCCAATGTAATCCAAGAAAACTTGCTTTTTATTGGCCCGATTCAACACCACTACGTCATCAATGGAACAAGTTGGCGCGTGAGGTTAGACGCTGGTATCACGCGGCACGAGCGCACGCGCTGAAGCAGACGAGATCATTGCGAGCAGACGACAACTGAGAATGGATTGGTCGCTAGACTGGCCGAATGGGCTCCGGAATCTGCCATGGTACCGGTCAGTAGTTAATATCAATAATGAGTTTTTTAGATATGTACGCTACTAAATAAACAGCTAACTGCTGTATCGTAATTGATGGGTCTATGTTATCATCACTACAATTTGTTTGAAATATGTTGCAGTTACTGGTCGATTTGTTGTGCAAAAAATATCACTGATGTTAAAATTAAAACATGTGGTACTGTAAAGTTTAAAATGAATACTTACCTCGGTGAAACTTGAGAGGGTCCTGTTAGTCCACAGCATATCCTAAAACTGTTGCGACCTGCTGATGCGAAATGATGATAACAAAATTCGTTTTCTATAACAAAGCAATTCATGTTTTTTTAAATACACAAAAAGGGCCTGGTAAGCGAAAGCACCTGTCGAAAAAATTCATACGTTTTCATTGCCGTGTTCAGTCAAAGGTAGAATTTGCAACAAGGGTTGTGAATAAGTCATATTTTGTCATTATACATCGTGGCTGTAAAACAACGAGCCCGTTACTTCATCAACGTGATGTGAAATATACATATCGACGAGTTTGATATCGCAATGCCACGAGTCGTAGATTTGAAATTGACCTAAGACTGATTTGAAATAAGCTGCACCGTGTTCCCCAGTCACACTCGGGTAGATAGGTATAAACTTAATAGAATACTTGCACAATTATACCACTGTCTGTTCATATAGGTAGATCTGGTACATTTCCTTTGTGGACCTGTAATTGCGAAATAATGGCTCGACAAGGATAACGAAATGCATTAATAAAAAAGATATAGTTTTGACAAGCATGCGTGCCTAATTTGCATGTTTGTGTTGACATATGCACAACATGTTGTTATTGTGCAGCCATATTTGATAATGTCTTTGCTAATCATGTGTCTGTAGCCACTGAATATTTTATATAGTTGTCAATTTTGCTTGTTTGGTGCGCGGTATTGGCTTGTAAAGGGTACAAAATGTGAACATTTTAATTAAAGTAGATTTGTCTATTCATTACAAACCTTTTGTTCTTTTGCATTATGTTTTGATAAAAAGATTTCCTGGTTATTTTTGCCAGATAAAATGACAGCGTAATGTTTCAACTGTGTGTTTTATGTTAATGGTAATCCTTTGGACAATAATTACGAAACTGTTTAATGGTCATTGTTTATCATTGTTTCTTGTATACAATTATTGTTTCGGAAAAACGTCATTACCGTGCGCTGCATGTTATCACGTAGTCGTCAATTTGTGGTTCATTCCTCAGTCGTCAATTTCAAATGACATAATTTCCATCGGCGCAGCTGGTTGCTGTTCATCATGACTTCTGGTGCCTTTCAAAGGAGACGTGTTTCTATGTTTGCTGTCATACTATTCTTATCATATTGTTCGGAACATGAAACAAGCTAGATCGTGATATTTGCTATATTGTGCTGACCTTTGTAAAAAAATGTTTTAAAAATTATACACTTAAGATTCAGACAGTCTGAACGATAAATTTTCTTATACTGTTTTCTTGTTCTAAGAGAAAATAGTTTTACCATGATATATGACACCTCGTTTTTGTCATTTTCATTGAACGCTACATATAATAATTTCTTATTATAATATTTTGTATTACCTCAAACTGTCTATTCGCATATCGATCATTTGGATACTTTCTTGGTAAAATAATCGCCTGTAAGAAAGAAAAGTAACCGTAGAATATAATTGTATGGTACGGTCCTTTATTTTACAAGGTCAAAACGTGTTTATCTAAACATGACCACCGACTGACCACTTCGCCACTGACCGCTACGTGTTCACGATGTTACAGTCACGAACAATGTTGTCTGTATTGGTGTTGACAAAACTTGGCATTTTTCTATGGACATGATCGCGGAAAAAAATATGTTTGAAAAGCAAAGATATAAATAATTACCCAAATCGAAATCGTTACCACAATTAAATAAGAAGCTAACGATATCAGAATAAAATATCCACACATGTGTGTATCCTACATATTTTAGCGCATCTCCTTTACACGTCGGGCTTCTTCAGCATTTCAAATGATATTACCCTATTTATGCAGGAATTGGAAAAATCAGGAAAAAAGCTCTAGAAAAGAAACAAATATTTTCTGTAAGCAAAACATTTTTGGATAAATTTCAACAAAATTCAATTAAGTGTCAATTGGTCAACTCTCAAGTGTTCGTTCCTAACACGTGTCAAATATACGGGTTTTTTTCAGTGTATTCATATGAATGTACTATTAAAGCCTCTATGCATCCTGTTCATCTTTAGGAATACTTAACAACTCGTGTTAAGTATGTATGCATTATATATAATTATGTACACACTTATAACCATACAACACAATTAAACAGAGCAATATAATACAAATCGTGAACACTAGAGAATAAGCAGTTTCGATTATTGAACGAAACAGATTCCATTGGATGTAGAGGGTAAAACAACCCGGTGAAAACTGTATAAGAAATGGAGCATTCAAAGCAAGTATGATGAAAGTAAACTGTTCTGCATATCTGAAAAACAACACAATTAAACAGTGCCAAACACGCATAGTGAAAATAAGCTGTTGTGCATACCTACAAAACAAACAATTAAACCGGCAGTGCAAAACTCCGTAATATGAAAGTTAACGTTTGCACATACGTGCAACATAAACAATTAAACAATTAAACAATGCCGAACATGTGAAATGATACATAAAGTAATCTCCTACATACTTACTACAACAGTTTGTCCCAGCCACAGAAAAAAATATATTTGATGCTAATGACAATGTTCATTGCTCATCAGGAATCGTTTGTTATCCGTCACCGCGGCCCAATATGTACAAATGATGATTCAGCAATAATTGTACAGGTCAGTTGAGAGTTAGAACCAAACTCCAAACAAAGACATTGCTGAAAGAAGGACATGGTTTGGGAACATTTTTGTGGTTAAGTGTGTTTTCTATGCAAACATGAACAATGCTTCCAAATGCGTGTACAATGGTTGCGATACAACTCAGCATTGTTTCCGATGAAAGGGTATCTTTTCATTGTTTAGTGTAAAAGAGCTATCACAGTTTCGTCGTAGTTAAAGATTTAAGGAAAGCGTGGCAATATAATGCTCATACGTTTTATTTTTATTCGTTTCCCCTGAAACGTTTCAAGTACCTGGCAATAAAGTGATAATTGCTTTTTCGGAGTAATCAAGGTAACTAATGAATCTTTCACATGTGAGTATTACCAATTCCCAATTATTTTCAACAGATCCGACGGATTCGATTATAACTAGTTATTTTCATAATTTGTGTGCGTTTGGCTATATCATGTACGTTCATGACTGATATATTTGAAATGTGTAACTTATCGGTTGGAGAACCTACTTGGATCCAAAGAGGTGGCGTTGGGTATGTGTGCATAGGTCGTAACCTCCCCCCGCGCACACACACACACACACACACACACACACACACACACACACACACACACACACACACAAGCGCGCGCACGCATGCACGCACGCACGCACACTCACCCCCCCACACACCTCACCCCCCCCCACGCTTTTGGTGTATATTAATTGCAGCGACTGCGAAACCTATAACAGAATCATTGTAACTATTATTTGACTAATATTTTGCTCACGGCCTGCGAACTGCTCCCAGAATGAACTTTTTCAATCATCAAGCTTTTCACATAATTTTTAGTTTGCACCCCCAGCCCACACCCCCACACCCGTACATGGGGGTGTGATTGTATGGCGCGTTGGAGGACATTAAGGCTGTCTCGTTCGGTCCAGGATGGGTAGATCCGTTATGACACTGACAAATGATTTAACATAATTGTTAACATGTAGACCAATAGTAGGAAACTGCCAATCAGTGCTACATTCTCTTGTGTATAATTTCCGTGTTCAATGGAATCAATTCACTGATATTGTTTCTAATGGAAATAACATATGTGACTAGTGCGACATTTGAAAATCTTTTGTTATTAGGAAAATATATATGCACCGTGTCTTTCTTTTAATTCGCTACCACGTTGGACACATTAATTTTGATTAATCATACACGTCTCACCATTATTACTCACGGTTTTATGTGAAATAATTCTTTCGGTTAAAATTTTGACAAACACAGTTAAACTGAAATATCAGTGTTTTATTCAAATGTAATTTCTATAACGAACGTCTTGGTGACTGGTTGGTGCGACTAAAGATCTTATAATAATTTTCAAATGGTATTTGTTTTATCAAATTTGTATGTTTCATTCACATGAAGTTTCATCAAGTTTGAAAACAAAGTTAACTGATTATGTTCTGACTTTGAATATGAAAGAATATATAGCCTTGTTCGAGGTTGAATTGGTAGCATATATTAGATTCTTTAAGAACATATTTATTCTGTTTTTTTATGATACTCCAATGTTTTGTGAGAAGGCGAACACGGGAGGTGAACTACGCTTGTCTGCCTACTGTGGACTTGAAGTAACCAATTTTAGTATTAAAAAAGTATCGATCGATTTGTCCGAACGAAGATGAACCACAACTTTAAACTTGTTACAATGAAGTCCGTGTGCACAGCAAAATAAAAAGCTTCAATGTAACATGTGGCTAATGTGAACGTGTGATGTTGAACCAACGTAAAATTAACATATGCTCATGCCGACTATGGTACGACTAAGATACGGGTAATAACTAAGATGTTGAAGATGTTGAAGCAATATTTTTAATGTAGTTTAGTTTCTGGTAATCGTATATATTCGTCAATTAAATTCCTGAATTTTACGTTAAGTTTTGAAATATTAACTGTTCATAGACTTGTTAATTTATTTCTCATGTAAACCCTTGTTCAAGATGTTTTTGTTTTGCCTTGGTGCAACTCCTACACCTTGTTTTATGAAGAAAATCACACAGATGTTCACAGTCAAGGTGATGCGGTCAGTTCAATGATCTGCAGACCATCTAGCACTAATAGTGTAGCGTTGATGTTTTTTAGGTGTTAAATTTCGTATTCGACTGGGTATATAGTTTATATTTTA